TTTCCCTCTTTCTCTCTCTCTATCTTTCTTTTTCCATCCACCTTTCTCCGTTTTGCGTTTAAACTGTGATTTTACTTGAATCGAAGAGATGGTCTTTTTACTCTAGCCAGTGTTCTAGTCTCAATTTAACTTCTATTCAACTGTTGTTCTCTCGTTAATAAAAAGTCCGACGAAAAAACAGAACAAGATGCAAAAAAAAAAGATAATACATATCCTGATATTTTTTATTTCCTTCTCAATGATCGGCTCCAATATAATCGGCACTTTATCAATATCATCCAATCATGCGTTTTATCACGAGGAAAAAAAAAGAGAACAGAAATCACTCGCTCTCATCGTTTGTCGCCAACACGATAAAGTCCGGAAGGGAGAGTATACGCGATATGAATATACGCATTTTTTGTAAATAATCTACCATGCACATGCAATACGCATCCTCATCGTAACATCGTCATTGTAAAAGAAAAACGGTCGAGAAGGGAAAATCTTGTGTAAAGAAAAGATGGAATTAGAATAGATTTAATTTTTGTTGAAATTTTTAGAATAAAAAAAAAAGAGTAAGTAGAAAGAAATAAAAAATTTAATTTTTCTGCTCTTTTCTCTTCACTTCGACTATTCGAGCAAAAATTAAGTTCTCTTTTATTCCATCCTTCTTCGTCAAGAGCGGAAAGAAAAAATAGGTCCAGGCAATCAAATTTCATTGTAAATAAGCGACGCGCTGACATAACTTTAAATTTTCGTGTCATTACTCGCCGGAGCCTGCAAAAAAGAAAAGAAAAAAAGGAAAAAAAAAGAAAATTGCTTATGTCTAATCGGGGTAACGAATGAATGATAATCACCGCCTGTCTCACTCTCTGTCTCTCACTCTCTCTCCCTTTCTCTCATCCATTCTCACTCATCGAAGCATTAATCGCATCTCTTTACTCGACTGCAAAGCGGAAACGACTGTGATCTAGATTAGTGTTACACATCGCATGAACAAGAAGAAAAAAAAAACAATCGATCGATCAGTGCTTAAATGCGACATCGACCATGATCATGATAACATAGATTATGAATGTTTCGTAGCAATTAAGTATTTCTTATGGACTCTCACGCATATACATATATAAATAAATAAAAAATATATCTATATATATATACACATATTATGCCACGCTGAGAGAGGCTATGTGAAAACGTTGGAACGTTCTTTTTTTCCTTTTGTGGAGCATTTGTGTAAGTAATTTGCATGTGAAGCAAGAATGCAAACGCATACATGTGTAACTGCAATTAATAAAGTATACGTTGTAAAATGTAACATGTCATGTAGCGTGCATACCTTCGTATTCGTCGCGATGTCCATCGTGTGCTCGTCCAATCTCATCTCGCTTTTCTTCTCGAAACATCTCATTATGCATGCATCATCCAACATTCAGCACTCAGATGTTGCAGAAATGGCCTAAATGATTCGATAAGATTACTATTATTGAAATAAATTATCAGTGTAAAATAAAAATTAATATCTTCTTCAAAAACTTTTTTCCGAAATGTTTCAGAAAAATTAATTTGTGTGTTTATAATATTTGAAAAAATATGGAAATAAAGACGAGTGTGGGCAACAAGTTTAAAATTCGATGTTTGTAATTTTGATCAATAAAATTCCTTTGAGATATTTTACATGCAAAAGATAATATTTTATAGTTTGTTTCGAGAGACATTTAATATTACATATTTACGTTCTTTGAAGCTTGAATAATTATATATATATATATATATATACCATCGAATTCAACAGTGCTCATATTAATATACATATAAATACAAAAATATTATTATATTAATACATATAAATACAAAAGTACAACATTCCATTTAGTAAAACAATCTAAAATAATTTAAAATATATTGATATATTCTATAGCACATTGACGAGTGAAATTCAATAATGTATAAACTATCGTTAGAATAAATCACTTGGCTTTCGATTGTACTACATTTTCCGACCTATTATGTATTATCGTTACTATAATTTATGATCTAGAAAAGATTGTAATAATTATTTTGAATATTAATTACCAGTAAATCTACAATATTTGATGCGTTCTTTCTTGAAGCAACTTGGCATCGCCTTATTGAATCCTTACGTTACACTATTCAAATAAAAGCACTGTTACCAACTGTACTGACGAGGCACTGTCACCAACTGCGTCGACGAGGCAGTACCTCGTCGGTACAACTGTAACCACTGTTACCAATAATTGAGAAATTTATTATGCGTTGGTAACATCATTTCTCGATAACAATACGAAAAACTTATCGACACTTTAATTTGCTTTTTTACATGCAAAAAAAAAAAAAAGTACTATATTCTATTTAAGGAAATAAAATAAAAAGGAAACTGAGAAATATAAATAAATTTTGTTACAGCACAAAAAGAGAGTGAAACAATAACAGAGTAAAACTTTTTTCTATTATTTATAATATAATCATATATTTTGCAAATTTTATAATAATTAATATATATCAAAATATATTGCACTTTCCTTAATAGAAAATTAACAGTGTATGGTGTATTTCTCATTTTATTAAATATTTATATTTTTTTTTATATGTACTAAGTTTTACGGATTTAAAATAAAAACCTGGGTATATATATAGTTCAAGATGCCGAGAGAAAGATCGATAGAAAAAGATAACTGAAAAAATGCACTCGCTTATTTGCGTTTGGAAAGGATCTAGATCTAGAGGAACTAAATATCAGTCGATTCCATTTACATATTTCATAGTCACTTTACATTATATATATTCATTAGCATATATAATGAGGTGATAATTTAAAAAAGCGCGTATACCTGCCATGCGAATAAGCACGTGGTCGGTTAATCGTTTTATAATCATTTTATCAGCAACTATACTTATCTCGTATCAATTGCTGTTTTTAGTTTCGAAGGCCAATCGACGACGTAAATCGATGCGCCGCCGTTTCGGACGGTCCACGCACGTTTCATAACAGTGCCTGCCAGAGAGTTCGCGTTCTTGATTAGTAAGACTCAGATACAGGACGAGGATTCCTGAACGCGAATCGTTCTCCAAAGACGAGGGATCGTCCCCGAGAAAAATCGTATCCGCACCCCTTAACGGCCTATAACATGCTCACGGTAAGAGCTTAGCAAAGTTCTGCAAAGCTTCGCGAAGAACCAGCTGTCGCAATTTGTGCCCTCTTCCACATGTTTCTCTGCAGTCTTTTATATTTTATCTGACTCTCTGTTTTGTTATAAATGAGTAAATAAATATAGTATGAAAGTAGAAAATATTGAACAGTTGCTACAAGTGGAATAGAAAAACACGTTGCGACTTACATGCAAAGAAAAAAACAAAAAAACGAAAAAGAAACAAAAGGAATGCAAAACTTTAATTTCGAAATAAACGATGATTTTTTGTTTTCAGACTGTCGTAAGAGCCGTCGTCCGCCGCTCGTTCTCCACGTCGAAATGGGCAGCAGCACAGCAGGTGATTTATATTCCACTATTAATCTAACCTAAAAATCTTGGTTTTCTTAATATATTGTAAAGATACACGAAATTAACTTCCACTGAATTTTCGCGTCGATCAATAGTTTCCCTTACTTTTCCTCCGTTCTTCTTGATTCATTTATTTTTCTTATTTATGATCATTTATTAGAATGCAAATTTGAAGGACATGAAAGGTCATTTAGTTGTGGTTTAGTATCCTCTCATGGAAATTCTTGTGAATATCCTAGATGACTGTGCGAGACGCTTTGAACTCTGCCCTGGATGAGGAGATGGAGAAGGATGAGAGGGTGTTTCTTCTTGGTGAAGAAGTCGCTCTATACGATGGTGCATACAAAGTCTCTCGGGGTCTGTGGAAGAAGTATGGAGACAAGCGTGTCATTGACACACCAATTACAGAGGCAGGTTTCGCCGGTATCGCTGTTGGAGCTGCTATGGTACGTTTATAACTCATTATGTTGATATTACATTTTTTCTTATTGCTATATCCAATTGTATAAGAATATTTTATTTTCTAGGCTGGTCTGCGACCAGTCTGCGAATTCATGACATTTAATTTCTCGATGCAAGCAATCGATCACATTGTCAATTCTGCTGCCAAGACATTTTATATGTCTGCGGGTAGAGTCAACGTGCCAATAGTGTTTCGTGGTCCCAATGGTGCTGCCGCGGGCGTTGCGGCGCAACATTCGCAATGTTTCGGTGCTTGGTATAGTCATTGCCCTGGTCTGAAGGTAGTATCGCCTTATAACAGCGAAGATGCTAAAGGTCTATTGAAGGCAGCTATCCGAGATCCAGATCCGGTGGTAGTTCTCGAGAATGAGATACTGTATGGTATACAATACCCCATGTCTGATGAGGCTTTATCTAAGGATTTTGTTCTGCCCATTGGCAAAGCTAAGGTAGAGCGAGTGGGCAACCATGTGACATTGGTGGCACATTCCAAAGCTGTCGAGGAATCCCTCGAAGCGGCCAATGAACTTGCCGGGAAAGGAATAGAAGCCGAGGTGATAAATCTTCGTTCTCTCAGACCGTTGGACATAGACACTATCATACAATCTGTGGTGAAGACGAAACATTTGTTGACTGTCGAACAAGGCTGGCCGCAATGTGGTATCGGCGCAGAAATTAGCGCAAGAATCGCCGAAAGTAAGTTTCGTTTGATCATTGCAAAGTATTTTATTTGTATTGAGAATGTCAATTGTATGAAATAAAAATGACGGTTAAAATTAGAATTAAACAGAGCACCGCAAATAATTGATCTTTTACAAATGAATTCGAAGATGTTTGGTTTCAGAAATTAATTCTTATCGATTCATTTTAATTTATTTAGTGTTCTTGATGATAACATTTTCCTTATTCGCTCAGCAAATTAATTCTCTTCCAGGTGAAGCTTTTTATCATCTAGACGCACCCGTAATTCGTATCACGGGAGTTGACACACCTATGCCATACACGAAAACACTGGAAATCGCAGCCTTGCCACAGATCAAAGACATAGTGGACGCCGTTAACAAAGTACTAGGAGTCACGCAGTAATCGCAACGGCATGCGAATACTTAGGTGAAATTACTATATTTTTACGATTTTCCTAACGCATCGTATTTTTCTCTCGATCCGCTATCTTTCTATCTAGTACATCCTATCTTTCGTCCAATCATTGATCAATAGAACAGTAAAATAAATACACAGAGGGATAAATTAAGAGAAAGATAAATAAGTACAAAAAGTCTCGATTCTGTGAAGATAATACATAATACTCTATCACCGCCAGGTAGAATATTTTAAAAACATTTCCTTATATTTTATTTGTGGAACTTCTACAAGAAAGTACGTTTCGAGGAAAAAGATACATTTATACATTTATTACAATGTATAAATAAAGTTCAAACGAATGTATCTCTTCAAACTAACGCGCAAGACATGTATTCTCTGTACATGTCATTAATAGATAGAATGTGATATTAATTGCGATTGTATATATAAATACATACTTCAGTAGTTAGCAATATTTTAAAATACCGAATTATACGTAAATTATGTATGGATGCATTCATAATTCAGTTGAAAAGTCTTTATTTTATTTAATTGAAAGTCATATGTTTAAATAAATTAAAATTATCTTTTATTTAATGGATATGTGCGCAATATTAATCTACTGCCGTATATATATTAATATGTATATATATAAGCTGCCTCTTTCACTTTGTAGAGTTTCACATCACACACTTGAAAATCTCAATAACTTATAAGAAAATGTTGATAGTGCAATTACTGCAATTGTATGCGTTATTGTTCACATATATCTAACTGCAAAATAACAGGCAGCATATAGGATGCTGCATTTGTTAATTATTTATTACAAAAAATTAATAAATTAAAATGTACAATTTAGAATTTCTGTCTTTATAATTCATACCTTTTAAATATATATATAGTTTTTACATTGGTATTCATGTATGATACATACGTAATAAGCAGCATGTCACTACTGTCATATAACGTTCAAACGCATCTCTTAATTCTCCTTCTCTAGATAAAAATTGTATCATACTCTTTAAAATTCATAATTTTAAGCTTGCACTGATGCATTGCTATATTAACTTTTGTAACTCTTACCTAAGTACATCCATATCGAGAGCGCACTGTGTATAAACAGCCAAGAAATTTCGTAGATCGGAATGCGTCCAATTAACTTGTCGCCAAGGTTCGATGCATCTCTCAACTAGTTCCAAGAAGAAAAATCTCAACTCTCGTGATCTGTGCAAGTTGCATCCAATTCCGAGTATTGCTCTCGAATATGAACGAAAGTTCATGTCCAATTCTTGATAAGATCGATCAAGAAGCATCGGTTTGAGCTTAAGGCATACGAGACTGAAACATGCAAAGTTACGCTGTTATTGTTGTAAGTTTTATAACAGAGAAATGAAATCATCATTATTCATCTCAATAAATTGTTTGATTTTTATAGGCTTCAACGTACTGTTTATGATGCTTATCGTTTTCTAAAAGAACTCTGCATTCTGGTAATTCTTGTAGAAATTCCCTATCTAAATCAGTGTCGAAGTATTCAGATCCAATACAACGATATGTCCACGATGTCATCATACTATTAGCGCAGTGATATAAATCGGGAAATGTTAAAAATTGCAGTTTTCTTTTATTCATTTCAAATCGCAGACACGCTATAAATACCACTGCAGCATATCGTCTATAATAATTAAAAATTGTTAATTATATTATGATTTGCATATTATAATTCAATTTTTTGCTTATGCAGTTTACAATAGGTATTACAGGTTTTATAAAGAATATTACATACTTAGCAAGGTCATCCGAAAGTAAGAAATGCTGTTTGATATTGGTTATGAGAGAACCTGGTAAGTCTTCGACAATTTTAAACACTCTTTTCACATTATCATATTGTCGTCGACAACTCTTCAATGTGATCCCTGTCTTCTCTGCCACTTCCTCCATATCCTTTCTACTTTTGGATGTTATTTTCTTTCCCAATAATTCGCGCATAACAACATCATCAAATTCATAATACCTGAAATGAATAATGTTTTATCAATATCTTGCAAGGAATTAATAATAGATCCAACTTTATTAAATGTATAATCAATAGATTACATTATACTTTGATCCTTACATTTCTATAAGCATTTGACTAGTTTGAGGTTCTATCTGAAAGGCTAGCTGTTCGCTAGCAAGCTTTGTAGGAGTATGAAGTAATTTCTCAAGTAGAGCATAGGTGCGATAGTGATCGAGTATGTCAGATGCAACCAGCTCGAGCGGTGCATTAGTCTGTTGACATATTCCTCGCTGATGCAGAACATTGACTGCATCGCTGGCTAAAAAGACATTCATCATATTAGATTAATAGATCCAATTTATGCGCAAGCAAGTAAATGGCAAAATATTAGATTATATTTCTATTACTCACAAGAATGCCCGTCGACCCAAAGCTGATAGATTTCAGGATCGACAAGAGTATAATTGCTAATAAACACATCAACCTCCGACAACATGTTCAGGCTAAATATTTACGCTGTCATTTTACACGAGATCATCGCAAAAGTCAGCTGACATCAACCTCAGATTTTTCTATCCGAGAAAAATTCGCTTATATAAAATCATTATTGCATTTCCGCGTATAAAAGTTACGGAATCTCATCGGTATTCGATGAAAAAGCTATCGACTATATTTGCTATATTTAGGTTAAATATATTGGCTGCCATGTTGAGAGTTTAGAATGCTGTTCGACTCACGTAGCGATGACGTAGTCATACGCTCGTTTGACTCACGTAGTGCCGCGTTTGAACTAGTAACGGTGGATGTGAACTAGAAATGGTGCGAGTCACGTAATCATATCTGTGAATTAAATCTGTGCGAATCCGTGCGAATCGGCATCGAAATCTGGCGAAATGAGACGAAAATAATGAAGATCTCTTATATCAAAAGGTAATTAAATGGATATTAATGAGCGAGATCGCATTTCGATGTATAAACTGAGCAATTGAAATATCGATTCTTTTTAACGACGATCTCAACGGCCGCGCGCGAGAGCCGTGAGCTTATTTCACTTATATATACAGCTCCAAATCTTCTCATATATTAATATTTTATATATTATTAGATTATGTTACATTACACACAAAATATTATATCATATGTATTATTTAGTAGGTTTATTCTTCTCTCGTAGTATACGTAAGGAAGAGGGCAGTTATATATGCTATATGTATATATATGAGTATAACATGTAGGCAATAAATTTATAATAAAATGACACGAAGGATGCATAAATCCCATATTTTCTATCTTTCGATGAATATTTCTGAAAACGTCATTCTCGTGACGAATATTTAATAATGTAGTATCTTTTTGTGATGTATAGATTGCTGCTAATATCGGGGTGCGAATTTGTGGGACGAGATGAGAAAATGGCCGAATAGTGCTGTTAGCGGAAACAATTTTCTCCACGAAACTATGGTGAGTGCAGTAAAATAATATTTTAAAATTTATTGTAATAATTGTTAAATTGAGTAAAAGAGAACTCTTTGGTATCGAGAAATTAAAATACACTATTTTAAAAATCAAGCAAGAAAATTAAATTTCAATATAATTCTGATGAGATAATTAAAGTCATCAATAAAATAATTAAAATAGTTTCGTTAGTTAGTTTTGTCGTTCATTAAAATTTACATCAATTTTCAACTTTCGAAGTAATTTCAAAGCAATAATGTGTAAAATACATATTTAAGCGAAGAGTTGATTAATCTCAACAATCATTTTTATTGTGTTACGGTACTACAATATTTTTTTTCTCATTTGTATTATATACATATATTAAGCATGAAAATATTACATTTTAGATTTTAATTGGATGATTTTAATCGGATACTGTTTTCATAATTTTATATATTTTGATAAAGGAGCCCTTAATTAAAGTTCTTAAAATAAAAATTAGATTAGGAATTAATCGAGAAATTAATTATCATTATTTATCTACTTGTGTATGTAATGTTATAAAATTTAAATTGCTATTTTAAAAAGTTTTTTATTGTTTATATAAAATTCTATTTTTTAACAAATTTTATATGTTTCAAAAGATATAACTATATGACAATACCTCTGTAATTATTTAAATATTTTACAAGGAACTTTAAATTCCTAATAAAATTTATAAAAAATGTACATTAATTCCGCAGACATAAACATTGCTGTGCTTTCTTTAAATTCAGAATACACACACGTTTTCTGCAACGTAGCTCATATTTAACTTGCACTTCTTAAGAGCATCTTCTTGCGGCATTATTAGCCACGAATTAAAGTTGATACCTGACTTTAAGATATAGCTGTAAATAAAAAGGTCACACGATGTTATGTGGCAATACGGCCCTGTCGCATGTCAGTGTTTTATCGACGGTGCATTATTTTCATTTTTCCGCCGCAATCAGTAAATGCTTAATTAAAGTAATCGCCGGACTTTGGAGCAAAATAATACAGACGGTGGCGTAGCGCGTGCACATACATATACATGAATACATCCACCGGCCGCAATTCCGCACGATTGATTGACAGGCGAAGTGCAGTAGCAACGGCAGCGATCGAAATTACCACTGCACTCGCACTCGCGTTCGCGCGGACGCAATTAATTCGCGGCGAGGCGACGTCACGTAACGTTAAACTCGTTATCGTGCGGGAAACGCGCGTTAACCGGCTACGACTGCCAACGCGAACGAATAAATATTGTAGTACCGAACAAAACCTGGTTGGACGCCGAATTCGTCTTGACCGAGTATATCGATCGAGCTATGTAGAGCAGAATGATGAATACGATTCTCGTCAATTATGCATAATGAGATGAAAAGTATAATGATGCGAACATAAAACTTTTTCTTCCTCTTCGTCTTCGGGGTAGAATAAACAACGTCATTCTATGAAAAATGGGAACAATATTATCTCGTAATTTAAGATATTATTAACTTGTCTTTGAAACACTGATGTCCTATTAATTTTGAAGTTTTTATGTAACTCTGTAATAATATTGTTTTATATTATAACATTACACAACTCGTACATATTTTCTAAAGGAACGCCAACAATAACATTGCAAAATTTTAACGAGAAAAAATTTATATTTAAAGAATAAATTTTATTTTAATATATATAATTA